GACATCATACCGAGAATGAGATAGATTCTCTCCAGCTCACTTTTGCTCAATTTGTTTAGGATGAATGAAAGAGAAGAAGAAAAAAAAAAAAAATCAACTTTTATGATTTTGTTTAGCTTGAAAATGGTTGAGGGTAATTTTTTTTTTGTACAACCCTAAAGAAGTTTTCTAATCAAATCTATTTCATTCTCAATGAATTACAAGTACATACATCACTCATACTTATATATAATATAATGGATGGATCAAAAAAAAAAAAAAGAAACTTTATTGCTGAGATGAGCAAAAACAAGCAACAAAATACATCAATAAAGGAGGAAAGTGCAAAAAGTATCATAGCTAACACTCTACAATCCCAACTACAATCCCAGTTAGGTTGGCTCCTCTTGTGTTTTCTCTGCTGCTGAGGCTCCTCTCTAGTTGCAGATCTATTGCCTTCTCTTGTGCTTTTTGCTTTTTGTGTTGGTGTCTTACCAACTTTGGGAGATGTCACTCTGCCTCCCCCCTTTCTTTATTGGTGATTGTCATTGTATCTTCGCATGATCATTATCAATAAATATTCCTTTTTCGTTGCTTCAAAAAAAAAAAAAAAAGTTGGCACCAAGGAGGAAGCACAATTATCTGCTAGCACTAAACCCACAGATTGGCGAGAAACCAATCCAAAACAGAGAAACAAAACGAGAAAATGAATGGATCACTCATCCTTATGTACAATATAATGGATGGATCTAACAAACTAACAACCACTTCAACTAACTCCTAATTAATTCTACAAATATCTATTCAAAATATCTAAGCTGACGACTTCAGTAAAGCTGAGGCTGAAGCTTGTGGTTGGAGCTGTAGCTTCGAGCTGCGACTGCAACCTAAGCTAGCTGAGCTAGCAGCTAAGCTAGCTGGTGTATCCTCAACAAATCCATATTAGCATTGTAATTAATTTTTAATTTTTTGTTAAAAAAACACAAGAAAATTTGAATGTTTGAGTTATTTATAACTATATTTTTAAATTTTTATATCTTTTTTCTTACAAAGATTTCATCTTAATAAAATGATTGTAAGAAAATATATTCTCTTTTGTATTTCTTTTCTTTCACTTTCACTTTTTATCAAATTTTGTTTCGGGTATAATGAGTCATATCTTGATAATTTGAGCTGAATATTTTTTAAACCACAACCTGTAAATTGTACATAAAAAAATCTTGTCATTTGATTACCATAACCACATTAGTTTATAACATTTATTTACAAAAAAATGAATGACAAATATTATTCCAAATCTAAGTCATATATTTTTTTAGAGATAAATACAATAAATAAAACGTGATTATTGTTATCGAATCAATCTAATTTTTCTCATGAATAATTTACATATTGTGGTCTAAAAAATGAAATATTGTTCAAAAGAAAATATTTGAGACCCACAAAAAAGCACTCACAATTTGGCCTATAGTGAAATAGTACAATAGGTGTCAAATTTTGATTAGTTACATACTCAATAATATAATACCTACCTGAATTTGTGCATCTAAAATGTAGGTTTCTAACATTACTTTTGTTCAAATTATTGAGATAATACTCATAATGGACCACACAGGTCCAAATAGACAGTTCAATCTACTATAGATTGGGGAGAATTAGGTTCCTATAAAAAACGTAGAGCTTAAATTAATAGAATCAAAACTTAAAGGATTAAAGTTTAGGATTTAGAATCTGTGAAATGAGTTAGGGTTTCTAAATTTCAAGGTGAAGATATATTAAACAAACGCAATGGATTGCACTTTTAATTATACAAAATTTTCTTTAGATTCTTAATATTAACTCTAGGGACTTTTCTTAAGTGTGCAACTTACACCTTACACTTACGCCTTTTCTGTTGCTGCCCTGTTTTATGTTTATACCTTCCACTTACACCCTTTGTGTTGGTTGCATATGGTGTGCAACCCTAAGGGGTTGCACACCATAACAGTACCCTAACTCTAGTACCAATTTAATAATGATTTTTTTTCTCCTTACTAAAATTGTAGTTGTATTTAATTGCTGCTAATGTCTGTGTCTAATTCATTTTCACTTCATACACATATATATAGTAGCAATAGTGGCGTTTCTTTTTTTCTTTGGATAAATTATGCAAATGATCCCTCTAGTTTACATGATGTGCCAATTTGGTCCATGTTGTTTCAATTTGTTCAATTTTGCCCCTTAATTTAACGGATTGCATCATTTTAGTCCAATAAATAATGGTGATTAAGTTTTGTGGATAAAAAGTTTACACAATGTGTCAATTGGTCCATGTTATTTTAATTTGCTCGATTTTAATTTTGACCGAGACTAAATTGACAAATTATGTAAATTACAGGGATCAAATTGACACATAATTAGACTTTTCGTCCTCTAAACTGAACAACCGTTATTTATTGGACTAAAATGACACAATCCGTCAAATTAAGAGACTAAATTAAACAAATTAAAACAACAAAAATTAAATTAACATATCGTATAAATTAAATGAACTATTTATATAATTTATCTTTTTTTGCTTTTGACAAATAAAGTCTATTAAAAAATAACCGAGGGGGTATATCCATTTACCACTGTAGAGCAAAACAATTACGTCCCTCTAAAGTGTCTGCAAAATTCAGAATTGATTGGCTCCACAATTCTCCGAAACCCGCAATACTAGATCAAAAACGTATACGAAAAATAATTTAGACCACTAAACGAATAGCATTAAAGGATAATTTGTTATTTTTCTTCTTGTATTTTGTCTCTTTTCTTTATTTTTTATTTTATTTTACTTTTTTAAATGCATGCTGGCTCAGTACCAGGTGGTCTCAATCAAATCAAGATCCTCTCATTAAATTCTCTCATTTACTTTGTACTTGCAGAGTTATTGGGCTTATTTTTGGTCCAATTTCGATGATCTAAATTGTTCACATTTTAAAATTTATTGAGTATATCATACTTGTAAAAAATCAAGTTGATCAAATATCAAAAACTATATGTTCGGATCATCAAACTAAAACTATTTTTTTTTAATTTAACAAACAGTTTTTCGAGCACATACTTTCTGATATCTGATCAATTTAATTTTTTATAAATATGATATATTCAATAAATTTTAAAATATAAACGATTTAAATTATTAAAATTAGGTTCAATAACCTTGTAAGTAGAGAATGAAGGAGAAAACTCAAAGAAAAGATCTTAAATCGTCTCAATCACAACTGAAACGTACGCTTGCCCCCACATTAGTCACATCAACTTTACTCACTAATTTAAAGCGCGGTTGCTCCACTCAGCAAAGGTTGTCTCTTACACTTGCCCCACATAATTCACATCAACTTAAAGTATCTGCTACTTACAATAGTACTACTGTTAACAAAACGTGAATCATTCCTGCGACAAAACAAAGTGGGTAGGTAATGTGTTTGATAAAATGCATCTTTGGTTTATGGTTATTCAGGTAAGTATTTGTTCTCAAGAGGGAAAAGAAGAAGGAGGAGAGTTCCGTCAGTTATTTTAAGCGGAATTTAAAACTCATGTCAAAGAATGAATTGAAACTCATTTAAAATGTAGGGTTTAGAATAATGAAATTAAAAATTTGGGGTTTAATCTTTATTGGGGTTAAACTCTGTTTTTTTTTTTTTTTTAAATAATTTTCTCAATTATTTATCATTATCACTCAACGGTAGGAGTGATAATCGAGTCGAATAGTTAATTATTCAAGTTTGTTTTGATAATTTTGACGAGTTTCAAAATTTGTTCAAAATTTAATTCGTTAAACTTTCGATTTGAACTCCAATGAGTTTTTATTGAGTCGTATTCAAGTAATTTGGTATATTTATATAGTTTTAGATTTAGCGAATCGAGTTGAATGAGCAATTTTAAATTTTTTAATGAGTTTTGAAATGTATTCAAACTTGACTTATTTACCTAACAAACTAAGCTCAAATGAACTTTTAATGAGCCGAACATGAGTTATTTAGTTCGTTTATCATCCCTACTCAACAGGACAAGTTAACCGAAATGGATTGAGCATTGACATTGACATTGACATTATACCGAGAATGAGATAGAGTCTCTCCAGCTCACTTTAGCTCAATTTATTTAGGATGAATGAAAGAGGAAAAAAAATAAAATAAAAAATTAATTTTTAATTATTTTGTTTAGCTTGAAAATGGTTGAGTGTAATTTTTTTTGTACAACCTATATTAACATTGTAATTAATTTTTAATTTTTTGTCAAAAAATAAAGAAAATTTGAATGTTTGAGTTTTTTATAACTAAAATTTTAAATTTTTATATCTTTTTTCTTACAAAATTTTCATCTTAATAAAATGGTTGGAAGAAAATATATTTTCTTTTTTATTTCTTTTATTTCACTTTCACTTTCTATCAAATTTTCTTTGGGGCATCATGAGTCTTATCTTGATAATTTGAACTGCATATTTTTTAAACCACAACCAGTAAATTATACATAAAAAAATCTTGTGGATTTGATTACCATAACCACATTAGTTTATAGCATTTATTTCAAAAAATGAATAACGAATATCATTTCAAATCTAAGACATATATTTTTTTAGGGATAAATACAATAAATAAAACGTGATTATGATTATTGAATCAATCTGATTTTTCTCATCAATAATTTACATATTGTGGGACAAAAAATTAATTGTTCAAAGAAAAATATTCGAGATCCATAAAAAAACACTCACAATTTGGCTTATAATGAAATAGTACGATAGGTGTCAATTTTTGATTAGTTACATAATCAATAATATAAGACCTACTTTTTTTTACTACATTATTATGGGTGAATTTGTGAATCTAAAATGTAAATTTATAATATTACTTTTGTTCAAATTATTGAGATAATACTCATATTGGACCTCACAGACCCAAATAGGCGGTTCACATAAAAAATGTAGAGCTTAAATTGATAAAATTAAAACTTAAAGGTTTAAAGTTTAGTATTTAGAATGTGTGCTGATAAAAATAAATAAATAAAAAATCCACAGTTAAAGTCGTGAAGCATGGCTCACGTGTAATGAGAAAATACCTTTCTCAGTTCACATATATAATCTCCATTCTTGTAGTGTTTATAGCAAAGCAAAATATAGAGACAAGCATGGAGATGAAGGTTGAGATTTTTTTTTTTTGATCAACCAAAGAGAACCTTCATTGATGCAAAAACCATACAAAAGCAGGGATTACATCAGAAAAGGAGGGAAGAGCAGCAAGCTTGCTCCCCCAGGAGTTTGGTGAGGAATCAAACCCAAGAAGAAAAGAAACAAAAGAAGAGAACAACAAAGAAAACCAACCGCCCAAAAACAGACCAACCTCAACTGGCTCAAAATCAGAAACAAACCTAGCTAGTGAGCTTGATCCTATCTGATAAACAAACTAGGCAACTTAAATTTGAACATAACAGCATAACACCTATCATCCCACTGCACCTCTCATAGCAATTTAAATTTCATCCACTCTGCAGTAGCCACATAACACCAATCTGCTGGTGCATACCAATGCGTAAGGCAGTCCAGCAAAATAAGCTTAATATACAGCATTCCACAGCAGCCACCGAAATCCATTCCTACACCAGAAAATAGCAGCCATCCCCCTGCAGATCCTCTCACAAGCAAAGCAGCATATAACAGAAGGGGCAGAACACAGCAGCCATCCATCATATCAGCAGCATAAACCTTAGCAAACAGAACACCACAATTGCAGCCCAGATTCCTGTAACATATCGCATTGCTAGCCCCTCAACCCAACCTCTGAAGACTAAGAGCACCTCAAATTAACTGCCCAGACCATCAGCAAAACCAACCAAGTCTCTGGGCCCAACGCAGACCATTAACCTGCATCCAAAACTGAATCCACACAGCAAAATTCCAAACTGGATCTGCCTCAGCTGCATTGCTTAATCTGATCCATATTATTAATTAATTCCATGGTAGAGTACATGAATCCCTTAGAAGATGCTTTAACCCACATAGCAAATCTGAACTTGATTGTCTCACATAACTCAGACCCACATAGCTGCGCTCCATTAAACATACAATCATTTCTAAACTTCCAAATGGACCATAGAGCAATAGGTGGTAAGGCTCTCCACAATGTCCTAACCACTTTCTTATAATCCCAACCTATCCACCAATGAAATAGACAATTAATTGTCCTTGGCACCACCCATATACACCCCCACCATAGCATCAGGTTAGACCAAACTTGCCAAGAAAATGGACAGTGTAATAGAACATGAGAAGCAGATTCATTTTCATTTTTGCAAAAGGCACATAAGATAGATGCATTACTATTAAGGACACCAATATGTTGTAAAAAATCCCCGGTTTTAACTCTATTCCCCCAAGCCAACCATCCGAAAAATTGGACTTTGGGGGGAATACCATTATTTCACACAAACTTACAAATTTTGAGTTGAGGGCCCATACTAGCATCGCTGAATCGATAAAGATCAGAAACCTTGAAACTACCACCAAAAGAACCATTCCAAATAGGATAATCTTCAACATCAACCCTCAAAGATGGAGCCACCCTTAAAATTGCAGCCATACTAGCAACATCCTCCTTCTCCCAATCGTGTAAATCCCTTCGGAAAGATAAATTCCACTCCTCCTCACTGAATTTTCTTGCTGAATAACAGGATAGCGTACCGTCCTTATCATTTGATCGGCTAAAAAGTCTAGGAAACTTGTCTTTAAAACATCTATCACTGACCCACTTATCATACCAAAACTTGATTTTGCACCCATTACCAACCTTTATCTGATACTTCCCCAAAAAGAACTCCACAAGATGTGGATTACGACCAGCAGTTGCAAGAACATCGCTCCAGATTCTAGAGTGAATAGATGATGAGAGCACTGGTGGCATCCAATTAGCCTCCTCAATCCTATACTTGCTGCACAACACTCTTCTCCAAAGGGCATTTACCTCATTACCGAATTTCCACCACCATTTAAGAATCAAACTGTCATTGACATCATTGATTCTCCTAATCCCCAACCCACCTTGATTCCTATTTTTTGATACTTCAGCCCACTTCACCAAATGAACTTTGCTCTTTAAACCATTCCCTCCCCAGAGGAAAGAAGCTTCCAACCTTTCAATCTCTCTAACCACTCCAAGAGGCATTTTAAACAAAGATAGATAATAGATAGGAAGGCTAGATAAAACGGACTTAATCAAAGTTAATCTACCTGCAAAGGAGAGGAGCCTTCGCTTCCACCCAGACAGCCTAGATCTTACTTTATCCAAAACTGGCTTCCAAGTAGACTTCCTACCTGGATTAGCACCTAATGGCAGCCCCAAAAATTTAAGTGGCAGGCCATGAACCTTGCAATTCAGAATATCTGCGAAAGATGCCAAAGTATCCTCCTCCACTCCAACTCCACACACCACACTCTTGTGAAAATTAATTCTCATGCCAGACAGGATTTCAAAACATCTTAAGATCCTCTTTATGAGCATAATTTGATCCATATCTGCTTCACAAAATATTATGGAATCATCAGCAATTGAAGATGAGATATCATAGCCTCATTTACACCAACTTTTACCCCTTTGAGAATGCCTTTTTCATTTGCCCTGTTCATTAAAATATTCAAACCTTCAACCACTATGTTGAATAAGAAAGGAGACAAAGAATCACCTTGTCTGAGACCTCTCTGTGGTGAAAATTCCTCAGTTGGAGAACCATTCACTAAAACAGACAACCTTACTGTAGATATACACTCCTTCATCCATGATACCCACTTTGACCCAAAACCAAAATTAGATAACATAGAGAATAGGAACGCCCAATTAACTGAAGCATAAGCTTTCTCAAAGTCTAGTTTGATAATAACACCTTTTCTTTTGGATTTTTTCCATCCATCAACAATTTCATTCGCAATAAAAACACCATCCAATATACTTCGCCCTCCCAAGAAAGCAGATTGTGTTTCACCAATAACAGTAGGAAGAACTCTCTTAAGTCTATTAGCCAGAACCTTGGAGAGAATTTTGTACATACTACCCACTAAACCAATAGGCCGATAATCTGACAGTCGAATGGGGTTATCAGACTTAGGTATAAGAGTGATAAATGAACTGTTAAAACCATAGGAAAGCTTGCTATAAGCATGAAAATCCTGCAAGAAATGCATAACCTCAGGATGAACTATCTTCCAGAATTTCTGGAAGAACAACAAATTAAACCCATTAGGGCCTGGAGCCTTATCACCACTACACTCCATAACAGCTGCCTTAACTTCATCTACAGAAAAATCAGCTTCCAGAGCATGGAACGCAGCACTTTCTGAAGCTGATTTAAAGGTACCACCCAAAACTGGTATTCTTTCCCACCTTTCAGTGTATTGCCTCTTAAAATGTTGTACAACCTTGTACCTTACCTTCTCTGGCTCCTCAAACACTTCTCCTTCTACTGTGATGGCCGAAATAGAATTTCTACTCCTTCTGCTGCTAGCCATAAGATGAAAATACTTAGTATTTTTGTCTCCATTAATGGTCCAGTTTACTCTAGATTTTTGTTGCCATAGCCATTCCATCATTCGATTAAGCTTCCAAACTTCAACTCTCACTTCCTTTCTTCTGATCCTCTCAGCCTCTACCAGAGGTCTATCTTCAGCCACAATGTCCAGCTCAACCAACTCCTCCTCTGCCTTCTTGAGTTTTGTAACAAGATTCCCAAAAACTTCAAAATTCCAGCTCCACCTTTAGAATTTTCAGTTTCTGAAACAAAACATACCGAGCCCTTCCAATAATGCTAGATTCATGCCAAACCTTAGCCACTAAAGAGGGAAAATTAGGATGACTAGTCCAAGCATTAATGAACCTAAAAGGCTTAGGGCCCCAATCCCTCATGTCATCCATTACCAAAATAGGGCAATGATCAGAAAAAAGCCTAGGAAGACCCCAAACTTTGAAATTAAACCTCAACAGCCACTCCGGATTAAGCAGAATTCTATCGATCCTACTCCATTTCTCCCCATCTTGAGCATTGCACCATGTGAACTTCCTGCCTAACAAAGGTAGATCATGCAACTCACAACTCTCTATGAAAGAATTTAGATCCCTCATTTCTTTATCTCTTCTGGAACAGCCCACCCTTTCGCCAATATTCCTAATCTCATTCAAATCTCCCCCCAAACACCATGGTTTTGTAAACTCAGATTTTAACTTGAGTAAGGAATCCCAAAATTTGCATCTGCTACCCACCTCATTGGGGGCATATACATTCACAATAGTACACTCAAAAGTATTTAACAAAATACTTGATAAGAGAACAAATCTTCTATTACTGCAACAATCCACCAGCTGAAAAAAATCTGGGTCCCAGATACAAAGAAGACCCCCAGCAGTCCCTTCAGAACCCACAACCATAAACTCCATGTTTCTCTTACCCCATAAAGCTCTAACAACATTCTCAGTAATAGAAGCTTGTTTTGTCTCCTGAAGAAGCACAATATCAACCTTTCTTTCATAGATGAGCTTCCTAATCCTTCCCCTCTTTTCTAGCTTCCCCAATCCTCTAACATTCCAAGACATCAACTTCATTAGAAAACAATTTTAATACCATTCAGACCCCGTAGAGAGACTCCATGCTCCTATTCTTTCTTCTTCGTCTTCCTCCTTTCTCGGTCAACAACTTCTAGGTCCACCATGTTTTCCGGAACTTCAGCCTTTTTGCCTTTATAGTTAATGCCCAGAATTTTCCCCAACTGAATGTTTGCTTGTGCCTCACTAAGGATATAACTTCTATTGCCAGATTGGCTCTCATTAGAAGCAGATAGTGACAAAGCTGCAGCAGCAGCCCTAAAAATAGCGCATTTAGGGGAAGACTTGCTTGATGATGCGCCTTTATGACCATACAATTGAGCAAGGTATGCATACCCGCTGACCTCATTAGCTGATTTTGATGCTCCAGCAAAACTTACCTTTCTTTTACCTTTCCTTTTTGACTTCTGATCATTAGTTCTACTGCTTATAACTCCATGTGGACTTGTTTGCACTGTAGGCATGCTGGGTCTTTTAGGAGCCCAAATAGAATTAGTTAATCCATTAGGTTGTATATTTGGACCCCTCACTACAATATCAGATCTATTGTACTCCACTGGACCATTTAAATACCAGGCCCATGAACATCAGCCCCATTTAAACTCTTAAGAAAGCCAGGTGTATATAGCTGCTCCTCAATCCTTAGATTGTCATCATTAGTCTCAAGGCTACTCTCTGCCACCGCCACCTCCATACGCTCCTCAACCACCAAGTTGTTCCCCACACCGCTTGTAGTCTCTTCAACTATGGTGTCAACCAGATTGGTTTCCAGCTCAGCTTCATCATCTTCATCCTCCACAACCAGATTATCAACAGACTTATCTTCATGACCCACCCCTACTAAATCTTGCTTATCAACCTCATTAGAGTTACGGTCTTCCACCCACTCGTTGGATAATATGCTTCCACTGTCAAAAGAAAGATGTGGTTGTTCTTTACAAACCAAAACTGGATGGATTCTCCCTTTACATTCCAAATTAATAGTCTGATTGATAAACTCCATACAGCACGTTGCAATTCTGACTCTGCCATGGCTGAAAGTCTCAGGTTGACTGATATTCCCATCCAGACTTAGAACACTTCCCCACACGCTACCGATCTTGTTAAAGGTGCTTCTATTCCACATGCTCAGGGGGATGCCGTAACATCTGAGCCACAGGCACCTTTCTTGCTCTGCATTAGCGTCTGGTTCCCAGATTTTAATAGACTCACACCAGTCCTTGAACCATTCTTTAATCGACAATATGTTAGCCAACATATCCTCTTTAGACAAGAAAGTCAAGACTACTTTCCTGCCACCCCCATTTCTAGCCAACATATGTCCCAATCCGTTCTCTTTAAGCACTATCTGAATGCTTTGCAAAGAGTACTTTGTCTTGAATTTCAAAATCGCGCTCTCAAATAACCAACCATGCCCTTCTTCATTTACCTTAATGGTAGACGCTGTTTTGCCCATCGGTGCATCGATTCCGTCTTTGACCACATCCGCAAAGGATCTCTGTAAACCATGACGAGCTCGATCAAACCTTCCCCTATCTTCATGTCCACCAAAACTCCCTCCAGATTGGTTTCTTTTAACTGATCTATCTTCGATTCTGCCATACTCTACCACATTGACTTTAAGCTCTCTATCCTCAACCCACAATCCGTTGGCTTTCTGGACAGCGATGTTCCCCGCTACGGAGCAATCAAATCTAACAAAACCAAATCTAGTGTTTGTGGCCTTCCTTCTCTTCTGTGGGATAAAAACATCCCTCATTACTCCAAACTTTGTGAATAGTTGAGACAAAGCATTAGGATCCATCTTTTGCGGTATATTATCCACAAAGACAGAGAATAAACCTTTTCTTGCCTCCTTGCTCCATACTTCTCGCCTTTTCCTATGATTCACTACTGGGATCCACCCGCCTTGCTCCCTCTCGATATCATTCTTCATCTCCATTCCCTATAAGCCTATATATAGCATGAGATGAAGGTTGAGATAGTAGCTAGAGAAATCATCAAGCCATCTTCTCCCACTCCCAATCAATTTAGAATTTACAAGTTCTGTTCTAGGGATCAATACTCTCCCCATCATTACATCCCAGCTGTTTTCTTCTATGCCAACCCTACTCGTGATGTGAATCACGAAGAGTTGGTTAGCATAAGATCCCAACGCTTAAGGGAAACTCTCTCTGAAACCCTCACTCGCTTCTACCCACTTGCCGGAAGACTGAGAGACAATCTCTTTATCAATTGTAACGACGAGGGTGTTGATTATTTGGAAGCTCGAGTCACCCACTGTCGTCTCTCAGACATTCTTGAACAACCCAAAGCCAAAGAAATGTACCGTTTATTGGAACCCGACCCCGAAGACTTTAACAAGAACCCTCTGTTATTCGTTCAACTTAACTTCTTTCCATGCGGCGGAATGGCGCTTTGTGTGCGTATGTCTCACAAGATCGCCGATGGAGTCGCGTATGGCGCCTTCGTTAAGGCCTGGTCAGACATCGCCCTCGGGTCGTCTGAGACTATTGTCCCATTTCATTGCTGCCTCGTCTCGCTTCCCACCGAGAGAGGACTGCCCGGTGTTGTCAATGATGTTCATGCAGATGACCGAGAAGATTGTCACAAAAAGGTTTGTGATCGACCCGTCGAAAGTTGCTACCCTTAAGGCCAAAGCGACCAGCACGGGCGTGCAGCAACCAACCCACATCGAGGCTGTCACTGCAGCCCTCTTGAAATGCGCAGTGACGGCCTCCTGATCACATGCCCTTGGACTTGAAACTAACGTTTCAAGTCCAAAGGCATATGCATTGATAGGGGCTGTCAACATACGCACAAGGCTTGAGCCACCCTTACCAAAATATTCTTTTGGAAATATAACTGGATTGTTGTGGGCAATGATCGAAGACGGTGGGGGCGGAAACAGACGTGCCAGGCTTGGTTTGTCAGCTGAGGAAAGGGGTTCAACAGTCCACTGATAACAATTTCACCGCCGAAAAGACAAAACTGTTGAGACTCAAGGGAGAGGCTGTGAAGGTGTATCGCCATGGCAATTGGCGTAGGTTTGGTCTATACGAACTTAATTTCGGGTGGGGGAAGCCAACATATACGACTGTTGTTTTATTTGGTGCCCCAATTGGAATTGGATTGTTGGACACAAGAGATGGTGACGGAATAGAAGTGTGGATGACTTTGTTGAAAGAAGACATGGCCGTGTTTGAAAGTGATCAGGAGTTGCTAGCTTTTGCCTTGCCAAACCCAAGTGCACTCGAAAATTGATCAATTAATATTAATAATAATGATGTTATGATGATCAAAGTTACTAAGAATAAAGTCTTGTAAGTTGTTGGATCGTGCATATGTGCTGCACCTTTTGGTGTTGCTATTGTCTGATTCCTTTCTTCGAAGACTCCAATGTTGTTTGTTATTTGCTTGGTTACTAAGTTGGTCTAAGTGGGGGATTAGTCCTTTGTGGATGACTGTAAGACATTAATGTTAGATTTATTTTCTGGTGTGGTCCAATGGTCTATACATCTTTTACATATTTTATTTTATTTAGACTCCATAATTAAATAAAGTTCAGTAATTAGAATTTTAAATATGGGATAATTTTTCTTCTAAGACAAGAATGAAATCTTGATGGACAAGAATTATTTTGATAGAGCTTATCTGGCTCTCTTCTCTCATTTATATAAGGATGGTGTGACTCCTATTTCATAATTGTAGTATTTTTTCATCACTCAAAATTTTATAGTCATCTTAATCAAGAGAGACGAAAAGAAGAAGGTGAGCCAAAAATTTAAGGTGCAATTAATAGTGGTATTTTCTCAACTTCTCTAATTCAATTTCTGACAAATGTATGTTTGTTTTATTCTTGAGATGTATTGAATTCAAGATCCTGTTCCGCATTATTATTATGGTTCATGTATATTAATTGTTTACATGTGGTATCAGAGCCTTAGTTTTGTGAATCAATACACATTGGAATAATAATATATGTATGAATATTATTATTACTAGTGGTAACTCGTGTTATGCATAAGACTTTATAAATTAAAAAAAAAAATCATTATAATTTTCTTGAAGTAATTTAATATTTTGTCTTGTGGTATACATGAAATTTATAAATTAACTTTTATGTTTATAACTTTTTAAATTATTAGTTTAAATTTTTATATATATATATATATAGATATATAAATCTGTTTAGTGAAATTTTGATAATTTGCATTAAAAAAAATTTAAACCTGATTAAATGAGATTAAATGAGTTAGGACATAACCCTTCTTGTTATGAAAATATACAAATTTAAAAGTTATAATTCATGCAAATGTACAATTCTATTATTAAATATGAAGTGAAGTGATATTTAACAATAATTGTATGATATTTCTATTATTAATCCAATAATTTAAGTTATATTTCTTTTGATTTCAATTTCATAACTAAAAATATAATATGATATAATACACACACAGATTTTCAGTCTTTAAAAATAAAAAGATTTCAAAATATTTTCAAACTTTCGTCATTTTATTTTAATTTTTTTTTATCTAATTTGATTTTAAATTTGAATAAAAATTTTGATTTGATATGAATTACTTTAACTTTTTCATTAAATTTTTATCAATTTTTAAAAGAACTTTCATTCTTATGCTAAATTTTTTTTTCTTTTCACCAATTTTCATGGAGAAAACAATAATTCAATTAATTGGAATTATAGTGAAATAACATCTTGAAATAGTCAAAGTTTGAGTATGTGGTTGGTTGAAATGTATAATTTAATTAATTCTCTTATCATATTTGTATAAAAATTGACACTTATAACTGCATCATTATAAGTTGGATTATGAAAAAAATTTTGAGGTGTCAAACATTTTCCATTTGTAAATATGCTACATATTAAAATAAGAAAAAAATGTCTAGCTTTTGGATATGTGTTTATCAGTTTTGTTTACTAGATATAAACAATTGATGTTTCAATTTAAAAAATTAAAAAGTAAAAAAAAAAAAAAATAGATTGGGTTTTACAGAGATAAAAGAAACCATCTAACTCTTCTGTATATTATTTAAGGTGGACTATTTTAATCACATAAAAAAAATAGAAATTATATTTAGAGATTATCCCTATATATTATGCTATTATATACAACTATAGCGGTAACAAATTAACTATAATATATATCAAAATTTATATTAAGCTTTCATTTTCAAGTTATTGAATTATAATTAAGAAACTAACAAATAGCAGTAATGGTATAACGTGATAGAAAGAGGATAAAAATAAAGAACATAATGAAATTTAAAAATCTTAAATTTACATAGTCATACAAAAATCTAATGTTATAGTAAAATTTTGAATTTGCAATAAATTTTCACTTTTTCTATAAAATAAAATGATAATAAAAAATAAAAAATTTGATACCCAGTTTTTTACTTTAATTTTATGGTCTTTATTGAAAGAAACAAAATTCAATCAAAATTCTTGAAACAGAATGGACATAGATACTTTGATTATAACCATAATCATCAATAATTCTTCTCCACCATGCAAACCTGTAAACAAACTCATAAATATCACTAAAATCGAAACCAACACCAAACCGACAACAGATAAAGAGAATCACACATGAAAAAGAAAAAAAATTGAAAAATAAATAAATTTATTATGTGAGAGAATGTTGCCTCCAACAACTTAGACCTCACTTAACCCAATCCGTTAGCTTCTCTGGCAGTGCTTGGGAAGTCTAGAAGTTGGGATGACTAATCAGATTATTCTTTAAATAAGACTTGAAAATTGATTAATTTGTCTCATTAAGTGATTTGAAATTTTGATAGATATATATCATAAAGATAGAAAATTACTAAATCATAATTGAAATTTAGACATTGTCATATTTTTTTGAGATCCATATCTAAATTCTTATCTTTTTTATTTTTGTGTGCTTTCTATTTTTTTTTTCAATTTATTTAAAATAGAGTTGTGGGTTTCTATTTTTTTAAAAAAATTTAATTTATCTGTGGTTTCTATTTGTTATTAATTATTATTATTTAGGTAAGTTATAATGTGAGTTAGATATGTGATAGACATGTGAGTTTTATTGATTTAAAGTATGATGGTGAGAGATTTTTTCAAATTAGATTTGTTTAGATAAATTTTAAAGATTTTTAAAATTTAAAATTGGATATTGAGATGCAGAAGAAAGATTTTAACTGAATAAATAAAAATTAAATTTATTAATTTTATCTATTTGTATATCTGATTTTTTGTATTTTTTTGTTATGTTCTAATATAATATGTAAGATATAAATAGATATCCACAAGTTTCATGAAAAATATTATTTGATTTTTTAGAGAAGAGAAAGAAGGTAAGTTTTAATTATTTCTTTTTTTTTTTGGAAATCAATGAGAGAGATTATGATGGAGAGATTATGAAATATTTTTTTTATTTTTCCATTTGAAATTCATAAATTAAGGGATAATTATTATTTCTAAAATGAATAAATAAATAAATCAATAATTTTTTAATCTATTTTATAAATTGAAAAATCTATAAATTTAGAAAATTGATTAACTCATCCCATTAACTGATTTAAAATTTTGATTGATATACGTAAAAAAATAGATAATTATATTACTAAATCATAATTTAAATTTAGATATTGTTATATTTTTTTGAGATCCATATCTAAATTCTTATCTTCTTTATTTTTGTGTGGTTTCTATTTTTTTTTTCCAATTTATTTTAGATGGAGTTGTGGGTTTCTATTTTCTTTTTAAGTTTTATTTATATGTGGTTTTTATTTGTTTTTAATTATTATTATTTAGGTAAGTTATGATGCAAGTTAAATATGTGATAGATATGTGAGTTTTGTTGATTTAAAGTATGATAGTGGAGGATATTTTTGAAATCAGATTTGTTTAAATAGACTTTATAGATTTTTAAAATTTAAAATTTGATATTGAGAGGGAAAATAAATATTTTAACTGAATAAAGAAAAATCAAATTTATTAATTTTTATCTGTTTGGATATCATTTTTTTTTTTTTGTGATGTTATAATATAATATATAAGATATAGATAGATAACCATAACTTTCATGAAAAATATTATTTGATTTTTTGGCAGAGAGAAAAGGAATGAAATTTTTAATATATATTTTTTTAAAACACTACAAGAAAATGCACTTTTGGCGACTATAGTTTTAGTCGCCAAAAGTAAGGTTTTTAGTCGCCGAAGCCTTTTCCCGACTAAATATTTTGGTCGCTAGATTTGTCGCGGGAAAACGGTCGGGGAAGGTTTTGGTGACTAATGTAATGCCCTCAAAATAATAACATTAAACCCATCAATAGAGACATGCATTGATATATAAAAACTCCACATCCTTCTATTTATCAGAGTTCCATTACAAAAAAGTATTACATGTTAACGACAAAAACAAATGCCCTAAAGGCTTACAGCTTTCCAAGTTAACACTTGGTTACAACAAAAGAGTACTAACTCATTTACACATTAAGCCCTTGGCTTGAATTTACATGTAATACATCAAAAATAAAACAACAAAGTGTGTCCGCCTCTAGCCTTCCAAGCTATGACCTTGGAGGTGGCATGCTACCTGTACCTGAAAATGATATTCCCATATAGGGTGAGCCACAGCCCAGCAGAAACATACTAAACCAAATATGAACAATGACTAAAAGATTAGCAGTTGATAGATGGCCAACACAGATACTTTCCCTTATCACACTTTACATTTTCATGACATACAAGTCCATATTACAACTCATTTTCCAATTCCTTTCAATTCTCAAATTTGCAACCATGGCTCAGAACCTGGCCAAACAACTCATATGAGACAATAACTCATATCAAACACTTCCCATTTCATATTAGATAAGCCTACTAGCTATATCACACAACAACAGATAAGCATACAAGCTATATCATCACTTCCACAGATATGCATATGAGCACTATCACACTTCCAATGACAAGCATATGAGCTCTGTCAACACATTAATGACACATTCAATCGATTAGTTTTAGTTTGCTTAATCATCATGCATTGTCTACAATAATCAAGACTATCCTCCACCGATAGCCCAAAGCAGTTATTTCTATACAGAAAATAAATGCAACAATGGATATATAATCAAAATTCCAACTAGGTGAGTGATAAATAATCCAACTACACCCTTTTATCCCATAACTTCCCAAATCAATTCCTCATTTCTCATAATTGATTATGCAAATTAATTAACCAATGTAATTAGGGCATTTTCCATAATTAACATTACAACCCCTAGGTTCCATTTTCATCAATGTTTTAACATTAATTTCACATTTTTCCATGCCAAACATGCATCTAGGTTTTATATAGCTAAAACCCCAACTCTTGTAAATTTACACAAAAGCCCCCAAACTTTCACAAAATTACCAAACCAACCCCAACATCTCAAAATACTAAAATTTAAAGACAAAGCTCATAAAGAGGAGTAGGATATCCCTACCTCGAAGTTAGAGCTCGGATTGAGAAGACGAAGAAAACGGAAGTGCTCCAAACCACAAACTTTTCGGATCAAAAGGTAGCCCTCGACGATCAACAACTCTTTTGTAAAGGCCAAAGGTGAGCAAATCACTCCTACTAGATCAATACCTAGAGAGAAGGTAGAGTCCTAGAGTGAGAAGCTCAACAATGGGGTTTTTGGAAAAGTAAGAGAGAGAAGAGAAATGGAAAAAGTGATTTGAAAAGTCAAAACACGGAGCTTTAACCCAGTCGCCCCGCTCGAGCGTCCAACGCCAAAAGTGATTTTAAAATGCCCAGCTGCCAATTGATATACGACATTCCCGCTCGAGCGGAGAACACAACGCTCGAGCGTCAAGAACAAAAAACTTGGTCCGCTCGAGCGCAATAATGCCCGCTTGAGCGCCAAGACACAAGAATAAAGCACTTCCGCTCGAGCGTGAAAACCAGTCCGCTCGAGCGCAGATTTCCACCTCCCAGAACTTACACCCAGAAAGCACTACCCGCTCGAGCGCCAGACAACCCGCTCGAGCGCCATCGCTTGAGCGTAAACAAACCCGCTCGAGCGTAGAAATCACATCTGCAGAAGTTTTGCAGGAACCCGAAATACTGGAGGTGTGTAATCCCCGCTCGAGCGCAAGAAGACCCGCTCGAGCGGAACGCCTAAAAACTGAACAACAAGGAATTAAAACCAAGGCCTAACCAACCTGTAACAACCCTGTTCAAAACATCCTAAAACTCAATCAAGTGGAATTAAAGAATGACAACAAGATAGATACCACTACCAACTTCACGGAACCGAGTCCGGAATACAACAGAACAGTAAAGGGATAATCGGGATCGCTATAACTAAAAAAAATTTAGTCGCCAAAAGTCCTATAAATGGCTACTAATGTTTTAGTAGGGAAAAGTACGAGGTATTGGCGACTAAATATTGTTTAGTAGTCAAAAGTCATAAATTGGCGACTAAATATTTAGTCGCCAAAAGTTTTCAAATAAAATTAGTTTTCATTTTTAGCGACTAAAACTTTTAGTCGCCCAAAGTATCATTTATTATTAGCTACTAAATATTTAGTCGCCAAAAAAATTAATTTTCGTTTTCTTTTTAGCTACTAAACTATTTAGTCGCCTAAAGTCTCATATATTTTTTACTACTAAATTTTTAGTCGCCAAAAAATCTTTGGTTTGTTTTTGGCTACTAAATTTTTAGTAGCCAACAAGTTTTATTTTGTTTTTTTGGCTACTAAACATTTAGTCACCAAAACTTTATTGAGTGTTATTTTTTTTTTATTATTATTAATTTCTGCACAACCTGTATTTATTTCGTGCAACATGCACTCTGTATATAAACAAAAAAATACATATGTCTATTTCTATTTCACTTTCAACCATCCAAAAATTTGGTATTGTAACATCAAATTCTATACAAACCAAATATAATCCAACCCAAAATAATAATTCCATACAAACAGATAATCATACAAAAATGATGTCCTCCGTATACAAAAAAGAAATATCCACTAGTAATCTATACTACCAGAAAATAGCTTCATCTCTGTTGGATCAACAACTATTGCAGTAATTGGTAGTGGAAAAGCTCGAGTTTGTAAAAGTCTTCCAGTAACAAGGTCCCATACCTACAATACGAAATAAGTCATTTCGAGAAACAAAAATACTCATGCTAGGAAGATATTATTATGAAACATTTAACATAATTAAGTAACCTTGCATGTGCCATCGAGGGAGCTTGATAAAAAAATTGAACATGAGCTTGATAAAACATGGGTAACTAATCTTTATATTCAGTTTCCACCTCAAATTTGTCATTATCACTTGTAATTGCAACCACCTCAAGCTTGGAATGGTTCACAAATGAGCTAAATGAGAATAATCCCTCAAAACGATTATGCCTAAGGTCAATGTACTATAGGGAATTGAGGTTGCCCAGCAGAGATGATAAATGGTTTCCTGTGAATTGGTTCCCAGAAACATCAAACAACCTGAGAGATGTCAAATTGCCTAGGCATGGAGGAAGGATTCCTTCAATGTGGTTATAGCTGAGGTCGAGCTCTTCAAGTTTCTTCAGTTCACATAAACCTGCAAAAGCAACAAATTTATGTAATGCCCATCTCACTGGTCATGCTAGAAGAAATTTATATGCTACTCTTTAAAATGTTTGCTATTATAAGAAATTGACTACCTCTTAAGAGGAAAGGTAATGATAGTTCAAAGTTTTCATCAATGATGAACAAATTAAACAAGCACAAAGCAATGAACTTAAATAATAATAATAATAATAATAAATAAATAAATAAATAAAATCCATCAAATTAGGATCTTTATTTAAATTTCTTTTTGTCTGGCTTTTAGTTTGTAAAAATTACATTAACAAACTGTAACAATTACATTAGCAAACCATCATGGTAGATTTTTACCTTGAATGGGTAAAATACCATTAAATTTATTTTCAAATATAAAGATTTCAGAGAAGATGCCTCTATGAATGGAGGAACACTCCCATAGAAACCATTCTGTTGCAAATCCAAGATCTCCAGATGGTAGAAAGATGCCAAACCTGCCAAAGCATATAATAAAAGATAAATGATTCCAAAAGAACTTACAAAAATAATAGAGCTCAAAAATGATCTTAAGATTAGAAAAATAATAATAAAGACGATGAATTGACATCCATTTAAAAAAAAATTAACAATGTAACTTAAAATGAAAAATTTCAAATGGAGATTGGCAATGTTCCATGAGCTGATTCCATGAGAGCATGAGGACCTCCAAATTGCTAACATTATAAGTCAGTTCTGTTACCAAAGTGAGGGGACAATATGTTAAATACATTGAAACAAAGAAAATAGAGATGAGCAGAATTGGATTTGATGTTGCAATGCAACCTACATTTATGGGCACCTTGATTACCAAATTGAAGGGACAATATATATATATATTTACAGGTCAATCAGTTAGTGCTTCAGGGCCAACTAAAAAAAATGATTTTAATTTTTTATGGTCTACAATGGCATTGATAGATTAGAAAAACTAGAAAAGGACAACATAGTAAAAGGAAATAAAGATTTGACCTGTAAAAAGGAAATAAAGATGATTAATGATTTTCCACAGTTTGCTTGCCAGGAGGTGGAAAAGGAAATAAAGATGTGAAAATTCACTTGGCCAATATGTAGTGTAGCTGTAAGATTTCATTTTCCAATTACTTTTAAGTCTTCTCAACACTCAAATGAAGCTTAAAAAATTAACTTTAAAGACCAAGAATTAAAAAAAAGAAAAAAAGAAAATACGTGCACCTTGGTTAGAAAGTGGTCCTTCGATTGCATTGTCATGTAAGGATAGAAACTTAAGTGAGGGGAGAGCACCCAAAATCCGTAAGATGTCCTTGTTGAAAGAATTATGACTTAGATCTAGATGTCTCATCTTGCTCCACTATTTTTTTTTTGATCGGCAAAATGAAAGACTTTATTGATGATAAAACCATACAAAGTATGAAAAAGATACATCAATAAAAGAGGAGCTTGGAGCTAAACAAAGCTCCAACCTCCTAGTTGGTGAGAAACCAACAAAGAAAACAAAACCAGAAGTAGCAATAGAGCAAAGCAAAATAGACCAGAACAAAACAACAATAAAAACCAGAGCAACAAACCCCAACAGTGCAACAGCATTAGCAGCAGAGTGCAACAAACCCCATCACAAGTTATACCCCAACAAATCATGATGCACTAGAACAAAACAACAATATATACCAGAGAGGCAGCACAGCAACATCACAGAGGCACCAACATAGCAGAGAGGCTCCAACAAACACCAACAATATAGCAGCATTAGCAATAGATTGCAATCAACTCAGAAGTCCACTTAGATAGTAGCATATGACCACAATCAAATGCCATTAGAAGTCAACTACGGAGAACATAGTGAACATGACAGACTTATTGCTTTTATAAGTACTTCAAAAGATTTTCACTTCATAGTGGACAGAACTGAGACTGGCTTTCTTGACATAGGGTAAGGAGGTGTAATTTTTTTTTATAATTATGCTTCCCGACAGTTTTTTCCCACCAATAGTTTTGTGTGAGTAATCTGATGCATGTTGGAAAAGTAGGGAATTAGGCAACAAACTTAAAACAAAATAGAAGATAAGCCCGCATCCAGTTAATCAAGGAAGTTGAGTTATACCTTGCATTGTTAGGGTGCTAAGCCCACATCCAGCTAATTCTGGCATCTCCAAGTTTTCGAGCACTGTTAATTCTGCAAGAAAACAAAATAGAAGATACTAGTAAGATAAGAATGGATAACATATATTATTTTTGGGAGTTATATTAAAGATAGACATGCCTTGGGCAGGAAAAATCTCCCAAGTTAGCGTAACCAAGAAAAAGATTCTTCAGAGATAGAATGATGCTCTTGTTGAAGTAGTTGTCACTAAGAGATAAAGTCCCCAGCTTTTTCAATCTTGACAAGGTCTCACAACCTGCAGTAAATTATTGTAAACTTATGTTCATATTTATAGAACCATGATCATATTAGTTAATGCAAATTTAACTCGATCTATCTTTCAATAAAGTTGTAAGGTTAAAAGAACGACATTAAACAAAACACTTGGATAATCAATTAAGCTTGTTTGATTACCACAAATGGTGTCACTTAAAAATTTAAGTAACTCTTAAAATGTAAGTTAAAAATTAAGAAAATTTTAAGTGATAGGAAACTTAATATTGCTGAGGTATTATTGCAAAGGTTCAGCTCATATTGCTGAGGTATTATTGCCAAAAGTTTGCATTACCACAAATGGTTCAGCTCATAATATTGCTGAGGTATTATGAACCAATTTAGTGATTACAATGCAAACGGATGGGAAAGGTAGTACATTATTATTAGTAACTAACATCAAAATCTACAAATGGCATATGGTTCTTCTACTCTTCTAATTGAAAACTTGAGGCTGGAATGTAAGTTTCAGGAAGTTGTAAGTTTTACCTTGGATCCCATTTATTAGATTAGAACTTAAATCCAATGTTTCCACATCCCCCAAATAAGCCAATTCTGCCCAAAAAAATATCATAATAAGAATATTTAATAAATAAAGTCATGAACTTATAACATAGTAATAACAATTAACAATATAAAATAGTAAGAATGATTAGGAATAGATCATTCAACTAACTGGAAAAAAAAAAATCAAATTTATTTTTCTGAAAGTGATGGCGGTTCATTTCATTGGGCAATATTATAATTTCATAGAAATTATAATTTTGAAAATCAAACTCATAAAACGAAAATTGTCACGCCCTCAAATTAAACCCATTATATATATATATCATTGGCATGCAATATTAAAAGAAACCAATTCATTATCTCATTCATCAGAGTATTACAAAAAGAAAACATTACATGTAATATCAAATTAAATGCCCTGCGGGTTACATCTTTCCAAGCGAACACTTGGACACAAATATATGAGTTCTAACTCAAATACAAATAAAGCCGCTAGGCTTGAATGTTTATCAAATAAAAACAAATAACTAAAGATAGTCTTCAAAATCCAAATCCTTCCAAGCTAAGTCCTTGGAGGTAGCTTATCACCTGGACCTGAAAATGATGTTCCCATAAAGGGTGAGCCACAGCCCAGTAGAAATATACTAAACCAAATATAAGCATTGATTAAAGGAATAGCATCAATAGATGGTTAACCAAAATAATCAATTCATCATTTTACAGTCTCATGACACTATTGTCTAAGACACGTTTTACTTTCCAACTTATCAATATGGCTCAGAACCTGGCCAAACTTTACAACAGTGAACTATATATATCATATTCACATTCTTCCAATGTAACAAACAGATGAGACTCAAGCTCAAATCAAAACACTTCATACTTCCAGTTTGATACACATTTAGTGCTGTATCAATAAAAACACTTCAATATAAATAAGCACACATAAAAGTGATGCTAATGGAGTCCATCCCCTATCTCCTCCCAAACAAAATCCGGTTTAGAGATCCATCCCTATCTTCCCTAAACCGTGGAGTACATCCCCTATCTCCTCCCACACAAAACAATGTATGCAACAACATAACATATACAACACACATCATACACATAATGTCTGTATTAATTCAGCAGTCAAAATTGATGACTTAATCAATGATTAGTTTCAGTTATCCCTAATCCACATGCAGTGTCTTCAACAAGCACGGCTATCCTCCACCGATAGCCCAAAACAGTTATTTCTAAACTGAAAATAAAATATATACAATTCAATAGGCGAGTGATTTAAATTATCCAACTACGCCATTTAATCAATGAATTCCCCATTCATGAATTAATTATACAATGAATTTATTAATACATCTAGGGTTTTTCCCAAATTACCAAAGTACCCCAACATATCAAAATACTAAAACTTAGAACAAAACTTATAAGATGGAGTAGGAAATCCCTACCTCGAAGAAAATAACCCGAATGGAGAAGACAGAGATAAATACCCAAATTCCAATGTGCTCCAAATCACTAAATGTTCAGATTAAATGGAAGCCCTCGACTCACTCTATCTTTTTAATAAAGGATCTAAAGTAGAAACTCACTCTAAGTAGATCAATCCTAAGAGAGAAGGTTGTAGAGGGAGAGAGAACTCGTAACTAGGGTTTTGGAATCTGAAAGTGTAAGAAAATTGATCTGAAACACGCTGCTGCCTATTTAAACCTGACAGGCTCGCTCGAGCGAAGACTTGGTCGCTCGAGCGACCAGCACACGAAACTCGCTCGAGCCAAGAATGCAATGCTTCAGGTCTGCAACCCTGGAGCACGCTCGAGCGACAGAAATGCTCGCTCGAGCAAGGAACTCGAAAACATACACCTCGCTCGCTCGAGCGAAGAAAATCTCGCTCGAGCGAATAAGAACTGCCCTCAGGTCTATACCAGACGCAGTTGCTCGCTCGAGCGAAGCAAATCTGGATCGAGCCAGAGGCACACAAAACAAACCTCGCTCAAGCGACCCAAATCCTGGCTCGAGCGACCAACCCAAAAACTGGACAGCAACACTTGGTTTACGAACCCAACCAACCTTGAACACAAACCTGCCCAACACATCCTATAACTCTAATGAGAAAATTAAAGGAAACAACACCAACAAATATACAATGACAGAATAAAACGGAACCGCAAGCCGGATACAATAATCAAATGGGAAAAGACGGGGTCGCTATAACTCCCCCCTTAAAAGAATTTCGTCCCCGAAATTAAGCATAAGTTTTTAAAACACAGGTTTTTTTTTTTTTATTTTATAATATGACAATTCAATAGTAAAAACAACTTGACCAAAACTGGTCATTTCATCTCTTATCAAGAGAGCCTCTCATAATGTGTATATAAAACAACAATATTTTCGCTTGCATCACCATTAATGCATTATTCCTTTCAAATGTTA